TGATCCACCCGCCTCGGCCTCCCAAAGTGCTGGGATTACAGGCTTGAGCCACCGCGCCCGGCCCTCTCCTCTTCCTACTTGAAACATCACTGAAGGTTAACAAAAGTATTAAAGCAGGCAAAAATCCAAAAGACAAAGACTTGGGAGAAAGAAGACAATAGCTCGGAAACATCCGCAAAGTAGAGGAAGCCAAAAAGCAAGAGCGGAGAACTAGCACTGCATAGAGAAAGCTGCCGCTGGCCGGGCAGAGTGGCTCATGCCTGTAATCCCAGTAGTTGGGAAGCCAAGGTGGGCAGATCATGAGGTCAGGAGTTCAAGACTAGCCTGGCCAGCATGGTGAAACCCTGTATCTACTGAAAATACAAAAATTAGCTGGGCGTGGTGGCGCGCACTTTTAATCCCAGCTACTTGGGAGGCTGAGGCGGGAGAATTGCTTGAAGTCGGTATGTGGAGGTTGCAGTGAGCTGAGATTGCACCGCTACACTCCAGCATGGGCGACAGAGCCAGTCTCCATCTGTGGTGGGGGACTGGAGGGGAAGAGAAAGCTGTTGCTTACAGCTGCTGCAGGGCCTGGAGGTCGACCAATCCAATGGGAGGGAACAGCACAAGGGACGGCAGGATGGGGCTAACACCAGGACTGCTTGTTCATCTGTTTAAAAGCAGGCTGTGCCCCATAGAACAGGGCCTGCCCCATCTAGATGCTTAATAAACACTTGTTAATGAATGGGTGAAAGGGTAAAGGAATGGCCTTTCAGTTGGGACTGAGTCCTCCCTGGTTAAGAAAGCGCATTGGGCTTTGGGGCGTGCCTGCTCTTCACCTTTCGCTGCTGTCCATTGATTTCTTTTTCCAGGAAGAAAAATGGCATCCAGGCTGGGTACAATGGCTCACGCCGGTAATCCTAGCACTTTGGGAGGCCAAGGTGGGTGGATCACCTGAGGTCAGGAGTTCAAGACCAGCCTGGCCATCATGGTGAAACCCCATCTTTAAAAAATAAAAGAAAAATGGCATCTGTTGCAGGTGATCCACAGCCAAGTGTGGTGGCTCAGGTGGTCAACCTGCCCTTGGTGAGCTCCACGTATGAGCTCATGTCCTCAGCCCATGTCAGCACAAAGGACCAGTATCCCTACTTGAAGCCTGTGTGTGAGATGGCAGAGAAGGGCGTGAAGACCATCACCTTGGCGGCCATGACTGGTGCTCTGCGCATCATCCAGAAGCTAGAGCCTCAAATTCCAGTTGCTGATACCTATTGCCGTAGGGGGCTAGAAAGGACTGAGGTTGTTGCCAATGCCCAGGGTGCTGTGACTCGGGCCAAAGATGCTGTGACGACTACTGCAACTGGGCCTAAGGATTCCGTGGCCAGCATGATCACAGGGGTGACAGACAAGAGCAAAGGGACGGTGACTGGCAGTGTGGAAAGACCAAGTCTGTGGTCAGTGGCAGCATTAACACAGTCCTGGGGAGTCGGCTGATGCAGCTCGTGAGCAGTGGCTTGGAAAATGCACTCACCAAATCAGAGCTGTTGGTAGAGTGGTACCTCCCTCTCACTGAGGACGAACTAGAAAAAGAAGCAAGAAAAGTTGAAGGATTCAGTATGGTTCAGAAGCCAAGCTGTTCTGTTAGACTGGGATCCCTGTCTACCAAGCTTTGCGTCTGTGCCTACCAGTAGGCTCTCAGCAGGGTTAAAGAAGCTAAGCAAAAAAGCCAAGAGACCATTTCTCATCGCCATTCTGCTGTTCACCTGATTGAATTTGCCAGGAAGAACGTGCACAGTGCCAATCAGAAAATTCAGGACGCTCAGG